GTGTTGACCGCTGCCCAGCAGGGTTTCCCTGGCCTAGATAAACTTGGGAAGTCCCTGGAGGGCAGTAAGTAGCACAGGATCTCAGCTCCCTGTGCAGGGCTCAGTCTGTCCCAGTGCTTCTGGGGAAGGCCTCAGATGGCACTAGAATGTCTAACACTTGCTGACTCATCTGGTTCCTTTTAACAAAGAAAGAACAGGTCTTTGGGTCAGTGCCTCCAGCAGGGAACAATGTCTACATAAAACTTAAAATCTTTGTTTACATTGTGTTTATTTTCATGTTTTACCTTCTATTTACAGCAAGTGAAACCCGTTTTCCATTTACAGAGGTGATACAAAAAAGATTCCTTTTAAAATAAATTTATTAAGCAAATAGTAAGCCAATTTAAAGAAAAATATAAAGTAAATAATAGTACAGGTGGTCAACTGGTACGGCAAAAATTCTAACACTCATGACTGCAGTTTGGGATATCAGACCTCTGGGGATTGCTAATTCCTTGTCTCTCGCCAGTCCCTGGCCCTGCTCCCAAAGAGGTCATCTGATATAGATGTCTATAGGGCCAAGGACATTTTGGGTTTCCATTTCTCTAGGGTAGAGTATTATAAGTAAGTCCATCTGGGGGGAATCTGTCTCTCCAGAACACTCCACCCAGCTGGATCCAGCAAGCTGGGAGGGAAGGTGGCCAGAGGCTGAACTTTGGGGAGCTGCCCTGGCCCAGGATAGTGCTGTCTTCCCCATCGGCTCAACCTCAGGTCGCCTTGGCCCAGGCCTCCCTCACCATGGAGGGAGAAGATTCTGAAGTCTGGGATGTGTCAGACTTCAGAGGACAAGCAGAGGAGCCCACCGATTTTTTTGGACTCTAGATCCCAGCTGTAGACAAGAGAGGGCTTCTCCAGTTTGGCTCCCCAAGTTCCCTGCTATGAGCTGGGAGTCAAAGCCACAGTTCTCATATAATAAGATGCTCCTTTGCCCGCTCTTGACCCCTCTTTATGATTTGTGGCTCTGGAAGCTGGATTCCTGTCATCTCCTGATGGCACGACTGACACACATCATTATCACGCTGTCTGTTCTTCAGCATCCATAGGACCCCTTCCCACTGATGTTGGCATTTTGGATGCACACTGAAGGAAGGTAGAAGCTACTGCAGTGATGCTGTTTCATGCCTGTCTGGTACCTTGAGTTTTTAATCAGCAATGGAATCTTGGTGGCTTCTGGCCCAGAGTCAGCCCCACCTCCAGGTCTCTGCACCACAGCCTACGCAGTGGCACCTCTGAGCTTCCACTGCAGCACAGGCTCTGTCCACACCGACCTGCCCAGACCCAGATACAGTGGAACTGAAATCCAGATGCAAAAGGCCTGGGGCATTCTTCCCTGGGGAGGCCACACGTGTCACTGGGTTCCCAAGCTGGAGCCTTAGGGTCTTAAGGTCCCTCTGAGGTTGGGCCTTCCTCAGAGTCTCTGGGAAGCCAGTCCTCCAGGCCCTGGAGATTCAGAAATCCATGCTGGTCCGGCCTTCGCGCCTCCAGAAAGCTGAGATCTGCTCCAGGGTGACCAGAGGCTGGAGGCCCCACTCAGAATCAGGGCTTCCCGGGCGCTGCCTTCGGGTCTGGGGGCTCCCCAAACACACGCTGGCCTCTGGCCTCTGTTCAGGCTCAGCCCAGCTCACCAAGCCCGGGGCGTGGAGCCTCTCCTCCCAGGCCTGGGGTCCCCAGAAGGTGCTGCGGGCTGGGGCTTTAGGCGGGGGCTGAGAGACTAAGGAGCTGGGAGGGGAGTGTGGAATTACAGGGGCAGGTGGGGCTGTTGCTCTGGCCTCCAAGGTTCCCCTGGGGTTATGAGGGTCTGGGGCCTGGTCCATCAGCAGAGGGACCGCAGAGCCATACCAGTCCTCGGAGCGCTCTCGAGGGGTGCCTGTGGGCTCAATCCATAGCTCTCCTCCAGGGCGCCAGACCAGAGTGGGTGCCCGGTGGCTGGGGTCCGGGCGCAGAGAGCGGCGGAAGAGGCGCTCGGCCAGCACAGCTGTACTGAGCAGGAAAAGGGCAGCCAGAGAGGCCAGGGCCAGCATGATGGGGACGCAGGGTCCGCAGGGTAGCGGGGGCCACGAGGCCGGCTCTGACGCAGGGGGCCCCTCCATGTACCCAGAGGGCTGTTCTGGAGTCAAAGGCATCTGGAGAGACAGGTCAGAAGAGGAAGCACAATCTAGAGAGGGAGAGAGGCAGCGGGTGCCCAGACAAGAGGGATTTTTTTTTCAGGGAGCTGAGGATCGGCCTCAGAAACACCCAGGCAGGGGCAGGGGCAGAGGGGACCCAGAGAGGGCGAGAGGGGTCAGATGGCGGACAGGGGGCTCCCTCAGAGGCCTGCAGAACTCCCAACCCCCTCCCAGAGGCCCTATTTTTCCTCCCAGACCCCAGGGTGCCTCAAAGTTCTAAGTGTCCTAAGGGTGTCTTTCCTCCAGTCTTCTGGGCCCATCAGATCTTGCTGGGCCTAGAGAGGAAGCAATGGGTGCTGTCCCCTGGGATTCCCACCTGCGGGGGCCTCCTGCTCGCCTCACCTCAAGCACTGTTCGGTCCAGCCCCTCTCACCCCTCAGAGCAGCTCTTCCTTGTGCCTGCGGGAGGCCGCAGGGCAGTTGCCTCAGATGAAGGCGGAAGGGAGGGCACCACCTGTTGCTGGGCAACTGCACACCAAGTCCCCTGCCTGAGAAGTGTTTCCAAGGCAACCTGGGGGGATGTGGTCACTGCGGTGGGGAGGCGGTTCCTGGCAAGAAAGGTGGGGCGGGAATGGGCAGTGGCCCTGTTGAACTCAGTGTCACCCCACAACCAGGCCCCAGGCCCCAGAATATTCATCCAGTGGCCAAGAAAGAGGAGACAGAGACTAACTGGCCCACCCATTCCCCACTGAGCACCAAGGCACCTCACTGCCTGCTCTCTGATTGTTGCCCAGCCCCTGTCCTGCCCACTGGGTCCCACCAAACCTGCTCCTGCCATCCAGCCCCCACACACCCTCCTGCTAGAGCCAGCCTTCTCTCTACTGTTCATGAAGATACATCTCCTTGTCTTCAGACCATTTAAGCCCAGTTTTGATCAGAACTGGGAGATGAGGCTCGGGTAGCAACAATGTCAGGCCTCTGGGAAGAGTCCGGGGTAAAAAACAGGCTTAGGCCTGTCTCCAAGACCCCGAATGTTAGCTATCTCTGCTCCTTTCTCCTGGGCCTGAGGGTGGGAGGAGCCTGGGCCAGGGCGTGATGAAGCATCACCAGCTCCTGGACTAGAGTCAGACTCACTCACTGACAGATGACAAGCAAGCCCCAAATAATGGAGGCGTCGTGTCCAAAGTCACGTAACCCACGTATGTGGAAGGAATGGGGGGAGCATAGATGTAAATTCCTGGTCTGGCAAGCTCCCTGAGCATAACACAACATTTAGGTATTAATATTTTGTTTTGCAAAATGACAGCCATTTAATGTGAAAGGCTATAAAAATATGTTGAAATGTTAGTGTCTTACACTGAGGGCACAAGGTGGTCACGAGGGCAGCCTGACTCAGATCACTCTGCCTTGGTGGCTTTGAGGAAAGGGCCAGAAAGAGCACAAAGTGCAGCGTAGACAGAGTTCCAAGGACATGAGGGGCCCCGTGGCTCTGTGCCTTGGGATGTATCAGACTAGAATCTGGTGAGATTTAAATTAAAACCCGAACTTAATACCACTGAATGGGACACTTAAAAAAGGTTAAAATAGTAAATTTTATGTTATGTGTATTTATGACAATAAAAAAGTTTTATTTAAAAAGTCCAAGTAAACAAAGCCTGAAAGTTGTTCAGGTTAGATGTTCTCTTTCAATTAGTCTCTCTTTCTTTCTTTTTTGAAAAATAAATTTATTTATTTAAGTTAGTTTCAAGTATACAACACATTGGTTAGACATCCATATTGTTCATAAAACAATCCCCCCAATTGCTCCCTCCCTCCCCTGGCCCTCCACCTAGCCCTCATATTAACACTAACTGTGTTCCCTATGTGCTCCCCATCCCCATGCCCACCTATCAACTATTAATTTGTACTTCTTTAATCCTTCACCCCATTCTCCCAGCCTCCAAGCCCTTCTCCCCTCTGTCCGTCACTAAATTGTCCACTATATTTGTGAGTCTGTTTTTGATTAGTTTGTTCTTTTTGTTCCTTAGATACCGCATATAAGTGAAATCATATGGTATTTATCTTTCTCTGTCTGACTTATTTCACTCAGCATAATAACCTCTAGGTCTATCCATGTCGTTGCAAATGGTAGGATTTCATTTTTTCTAATGGCTGAGTAATATTCCATTGTATATATGAACCATAATTTCTTTATCCAATCATCTGTTGATGAGCACTTAGGTTGCTTCCATATCTTGGCTATTATAAATTGTACTGCCATGAATATTGGAGTGCATAGATTTTTACAAATTATTGTTTTGGTTTTCTTTGGATAAATACCCAGAAGTGCAATTGCTGGGTCAAAAAGTATATCCATTTTTAATTTTTTGAGAAACCTCCATACTGTTTTCCATAGAGGCTGTACCAATTTGCAATCCCACCAACAATGTATGAGGGGTCCCTTTTCTCCGCATCCTTGCCGACACTTGCTGTTTTTTTGATTTATTGATGATAGCCATTCTGACAGGTGTGAGGTGATATCTCATTGTGGTTTTAATTTGCATTTCTCTGATGATTAGCGACCTTGAGCATCTTTTCATATGTTTGTTAGCCATCTGTATTCCCTCTTTGGAGAAATATCTATTCGAGTCCTCTGCCCATTTTTTAATTGGATTGTTTGGAGTTTTTTTTGTTGTTGAGTTGTATAAGTTCTTTATAAATTTTGGATATTAATCCCTTATCAGATGTATCATTAGCAAATATTTTCTCCCAAACAGTCAGTTGTCTTTTTGTTTTGTTGATGGTTTCCTTTGCTGTACAAAACCTTTTTAGTTTGATGTAGTCCCACTTGTTTATTTTTTCTTTTGTTTCCCTTGCCCGAGGAGATATATCTGAAAAGAAATTCCTGTTAGTAATATCAGAGAGTTTACTGCCTATGTTTTCTCCTAAAAGTTTTATGGTTTAATCTTCCTTTAAAAAATAAAAACACTAGAAGAGTAAAAATTATTAAAAACCAGAAAGATCAGACATGATTTTCTGTTCCAAAGGTTTCAAACTGGCTGTTTTGATTCTTTTTTTTTTTTTTAATGGCATTAAATTTTTACTGCCTTTGGGAAGTCTAATTGTTATGGTCTTTTATCATTTAAAAAAAAAAAAGCTAAAAAATGTTTAACTGGTTCCTTAAAAAATTAGACATAAAATTACATACGATCCAGCAAATGCTGATAT